GCCCCCTCGTGCCCCCCTCCACTGAACCAGCGCTGCCGGGAGCTAGGAAGAAGATTCCCAGTCTGGTTTTTCCCATACTTGCCTCCAGTGGGTTTTCTGGGGGCTTGATGCAGTGGAGCTGGTTGCTGATCCCTTCAGCAAGCGGTGAAGTTTCTCCTTCAGCTCGGCCACACTCAGAGGGCGTTTCCAAGCTGCATTTTTCGTGCCGTGGTACTTCAGTGTCCCCAGCCCGAGCGCAGGCATTGCAGTCGGATTGTTTGGAACTTCGCATTGCTGGGAGCTCTCTCCAACTGCAGTTCATCTTTATTCAGTCACAGATGGTCACAGCAATTTTGCTTGACAAAGCAAAATGTGGCTGTAGCGTGTAGCTTTTTATTATCCAAGAATTCAGGGTATCTTGCATGTAGGATCTCACGCGGATTTAAAGGGGAAGAGCTTGTACACAGTTCAGACCGAGGTTTAGACATGGCCCTAACCGACAGAAGGTGGGAGTTTAGTCTGGATCGCTTCCTTCACAGACTTGTTCCCTTGTGCTGGTTTAGCCTCTGCCCCTCGGTTCTCACACGTGAACTGCTCTTGTATTCCAGGAGCTGGAGTTCCTGAGAGTGGCCAAGAAAGAGAAACTGAGAGAAGCGACAGAGGCGAAGCGCAACCTAAGGAAAGAGATTGAACGTCTGAGAGCCGAGAACGAGAAGAAGATGAAGGAAGCCAACGAGTCTCGGGTACGGCTGAAGCGGGAGCTGGAGCAAGCCAGGCAGATCCGGGTGTGTGACAAGGGCTGCGAAGCGGGCAGGCTCCGGGCCAAGTACTCAGCCCAGGTAAGAGCCCAGCACGGCGAGCTGGAAGGGCGAGGAAGCTTTTCCTGTTCTTGCAGTTTTGGGGGTTAGGCCGAGTGTGTGTCCTATAGTGCAGTGGCCCTGTTCTGTCTAATCTGATACTAATCTCTGTGCCCCCATCATGTCATTGACCCGCCCCGGTTCCAGAGCAAGGCGTTAAGGACTCGCCTGCCTGGAAGGGCAAGGAAGTGTTTCCTGTTCCTGCAGTTTTGGGGGCTAGGCCGAGTGTCTGTGTGTGTGTCTTGTAGTGCAGCGGCCCTGTTCTGTCTGATCTGATACTGTCTGTGTAATGTCTGTGCCCCCATCATGTCATTGACCCGCCCCGGTTCTAGCGCAAGGCGTTAAGGACTCGCCTGCCCTCTGACCACCAGGGTCAGTCCCACAGCCCTGCCCAGAACTGGGCACGCTGGGCACGTTGGTCTGCTGGAAATCACCGTTCACGGGGGCAGGACAGACGCCAGACACGATTTCAGCTCACCAGGGCACTGCTGGCTGGCGCGGTTCTGCAGACATGAGGCAGAGCTACTTTCTCTAGAGATACTGTTCCTCAAAGATCAGCCTTGACCTCCAGGAGCCATTTGAGCCCCGAGAAGGGCCCAGGGCTGCCTGCACACAGGCTGCTGTGCTGGGAAGCAGCGACATTTATGGCTGTAAAGCACAAGGGGAGCAAACTGTCAGTCTAAGAAAAGAATTCCAGTTTGATCTTGGGGAAAGTTCTAGGAATGCAGGAACATGTTGTTACAAGCAACATGTATGCTTTAAGCTTTCGACCTAAAAGTCCCTCCCCGCCCTCTCCACATCAGATTCTCTTGTAATAAAAGACTTTGAAGCTTATTTAAAGCATCTGAAGCCAAGTGAACCAAGAGCTCTGGCTGCATGTCCTGCGTAAGTGGCCGTGCTGTGTCTCGTGCAGGCGGAGCGGGAGCGGAACGGCAGAAACGGCCCTGAGGAGGAATCCACTGCAGGCCGGGCCTTCCCCTCCTTGCCCAGTAATCCATTTCCCATTAAAGGGGCTGGTCCCATAGCCCTCGTTAACCCCTCCAGCCCCGCGGCTCTCTGGAGAGGAGCTCCCGAGCTGCTCCTCTCCCTGAGACCAACTCCTCTCCTTGCCAGCGCTGCCTCCTCACTCGGCGGCACGTGCTCTGTGCCCGTGTTCGGCCTGCAGCAGGAGCTGCCGATCGCTGGTGTGGTCACTTTAAGGGGGGAGGGGAAGGACAAACGCAGCAGCAATCAGAACTTCTTCAGCTGGGGCTCAGTGCCGGGAAGGGGAGAGCTCCACCCAGCCCGCTGCGAGCCCGGCTAACCGGGAGACCAGAAGCAGGAAATGATGTGGGCTTCCGCCCTGGCATCACAGGATGTCTCGCTGATAAGAGGTGTCCAGACTAAACAGAAGCAGACTGAGCTGCTGCGCGGGGCGTTGCCGCCAGCCGACTTCCACTGGAGCAGAAAACACCCGGGCAGGGCGAGCGCAGCCCGACCCGGGCTGGGCACCAGCTGCCCCTGGAGGGCTGTGGGGCCATGGGCAGGAGCAGACCTCGAGGAACTGCAGAGCCTGAATCTCACAGGCATCCGTGTGACCTCAGTTCCTAAGTCATGTAAGAAATGTTAAGACAAAGCTTTAGGCAGCCTTTTAGCTTGAATTGGGAGTGCACACAGGAAATTTGTCACTTGGGTTGTGTTCATCACTTCTTATTTTTTTGAGGAAACCGCAAGCCTCTAGACAGGCTTAATCTGAGAGAAGTAGCATTAGGCAAGCAGGGGAGGAAGTAAGACAACAAATTCAGGGGTGTAAATGTCTTTGTGTGAGCTTAAAGGATTATCTGCTTAATGCCTATTGAGAACCTGTGTGGGTTGTGGCTTTCTCCTTCCTTACCTTGATACCGAGACCCCAGTGTGGCTGGGCTGGTGGCTTGGCCTCCATGTTAGCTCAAAACATACGAGTTCTCCTCTCCTTTGTTAACTGGCAACTCTTGCTCACTGCTCACCTGAGCTGTTCCTGGCCTAAAATTGAGTATTTCAAACCAGTGCCCTTTTCCCCCAGTGTTAACACCTTGAGCACGGGGGCAGTGTGCCGCTTTCGTTCCCAGCAGTAGAAGCTGGGACTGGCTGGGGAGGCTGCTGGGGAGGCCGAGGCCGCCCGCGTGCCTTGCTGCAAGGGGCTGGGAAGAGCCTGTTGGGAGAGCTCAGGCAACGAGATCTCGGGCTCCTTTTGGGCCACATTTTCGCCAGTTTTTCCCCCTCTTTTCTGGCACTTAAGCCACCAGAAATCTTTAAGACTTGCAAGGCTGAGCAGCTCCTGCAGTGCTCTTCTGTAACTGTACAGGAGTGTCGTGAAGGAGTGGGGAAAAGGGAATTCCCTCCTCCCCACAGCCTTGATAACCCCGTGGCTGGAAGCACGGGCCTTTGTTGCTCGCCTCAGTAGTCTGCGTTGAAGTCTGCAAAATCCCAGCGGAACTGGAATGTTAAACCAGTTTATTGTGTTTCCTGATGTGCTTTTCCCTAGATCGAGGACCTACAGGTGAAGCTTCAGCACGCGGAGGCCGACAGGGAGCAGCTCCGAGCCGACCTGATGCATGAACGGGAGGCCCGGGAACAC